TTTTTTTTTCTTAACAGGCACGTGTTTTATCCTTTTAAATACAAGAAGGGCACCTGGTGCTTTGTGAGCATGGACTAATTGTCACTGTTTTCATACAGCACATCATAGAACAGCTTTTCCTGGTCCTTTCATTATAATGTTGATGAAAAAAAAATCAATAAATGGGGTTATCCTAAGACTTGGTTCTGAGATACATTGTTTTGCTTAACATCGCTGTTTCCTTGTCCCCATTAAGTGAGGACTTACCTGCCTCCTCCCACCCTGGGCTGTGATGGAGTGGTGGTCTGCACCTTCTCCTCCTCATTGGTAAATGGGGATAATATCGTGCCTGCCCCAGGGTTTTGTTGAGGGTTAGGGAGTTAGTGCACTACAGAGCTCTATGGGTCTGGTAGGAGTAAACTCTGTTTTCTGTGAGCAGGGAGTAGCTGGACACGCGTGCAGGCCCTGGGTCTCTGACCTTAGGATCCCGCCCTCTGCACTGGGACTCTGCCTTTGCTAAGAGTGTTGTCGCAGAGCAAAAAGGGGTTCCCTGAAACTGCCGGTGTCCTGGGCCCCTGGGCCTCCAGGCTGGCATGCATGAGGGGTGTGTGTGCTCGCCAGACCCCCCCATTTAACTGGGTGAAGCAGCTCTGATGACTGGTTCCTTCGGGAGTACGGCTGAGCTATACCCAGTTTGGCTTCCATTAACAGCTGGGGTGACCCTCAGAGTGGCTGGAGACTGGGGGTGATGCCCAGAAGGAGGAACTTAAGGCATGGTGAAAAACAGCAGGAGGTGGCCCTCCCTGGTGGTGCAGCGGGTTAGAGCACAGCACTGAGAAGCTAAAGCACTTCCGCATGAGTTCGATCCCCGTCTGCCCGGAGGAGAACACATGGCGCGGCAGACCTCTCCTGACCCGCCCGCTGCTCCCCTCAGCAGTGTACTTCGTCGATCTGCCTGTTCTGCTCCCCACTCTGTCTCTGGTGAATCCTCTCACCGCCCCTGAGCCTCTGGCCTGTACCCCAGTTCTGTACAAATAAATAAATAAATCTTAAAAAAAAAAAAAAACAGGAGGAAAAAGCAGGAGGAAAAAATGATGAAGCTTAATATTCCTGAGTCTGCCCAACCCCCAGCCAGCCACCTTGGACAAAAGGGGACAGGGGACTTTTTTCTGGGGCATAGACGTGGCTGGGAGCCAAAGGGCTGGCCTAGAACCTCAAGTCCTCGCACTTTTTCTGGCCCTATTAAGTGGGGGGAACAGCGGCCCCTGCAGAGGGGACATTGAGAGAGGCCTGGGCCCCAGCAGGGTGCATGACCCTGGACACAGCCATTCCTGTGCCCAGTCTGGGCTCACCCCAGCCCGCTTAGTTCAGGGCTGGTTTTCTCAGCCAGGCTCTTCCAGGCAGGAGCTGTCTCCCCTGAGGCTCTGCTGACTCAGCCCTTTTCTGTGGCTAGCCTGGGAAGACTGAGGGGATGGCGCCCCACCCCCTCCTGGTCTGCAGCCCTGGCTCTGGGCCCTGGGAATGCTGCCTGGGGCAGGAACACAGAAAGGACAGCCAGGGTGGACCTGCTCTTCCCAGTGGCCACAGTTCCTACATCAGTCTGCCCCTGCTAAGGGTGGGGGGCCCCGGGGGCTGGGGGAGTGGGTGGGAAAGTGCACAAGGCTGGAGGCTGGGGGAACCCAGATCTATCCCCAGCTTGGACTCCCTGGCCTCGAGCCAGAGTTGCCTCCCTGGATCACAGGGTCCCTCCTGGTCAGCGGAAAGAGTTGGGTTAGCTCACCACCAGGGACCTTCCTGGCTTGGTGTCCTGCTTATAATTCTCCCCCAAACTAACAGGAAAGCTGAGGCCCAGGGATGAGCCCTGGTCAAGGACACAATCCCTCTCTCCCTCTCCCGACCCCCCTCCCCCGCCAAGAGACTGTCTGCTTCCATACTGCCCAGCTGTCAGTGGGGACTGCGGTTTGGCACCCAAGGCCCAGGCTCCCATCCATTCCCCTCGGGTCCTTGCATTCTGCCTCCCCCACCCCCCACAGTCCCTGAGCTGCAGCCTTTGCCCCCCCCCCCACTTTCCAGGTCAGCATGTGGGATGGGGCCCTTCCCCACCAGCCTCTTCCCCCAGACCCTAGCTCCTTTCCCTGCGGCTGGAGTATGAGACCCTGGAATAATGGGTGTCAGCCCTCTCTGGATCCCGAAGCCCCTGTGGTCTCAACCCCCCAAGCCAGGGCTGCAGTGAGGCCACGTGGCCTCCCGTGAGCTCCATGAATGGGTGATGGCAGAATTCAAGGCAGGCAGGAGGGCTTGGCGGGTGGATGTGGGCTGGCAGCAGCTTCCGGAGCCTGAGGGGGGCAGTTAAAAAGGGAATGACATGCTTTTGTTTTTACACTGAAGAGAATTTATTCCAGGATCTGAGCTTGTTCCTGGTCATAAAGTCAAAGTTTCCAGGAACCCACAGGAGAGGGGAAATGAGGACTCGCAGGGCTCCTTCTCTCACCAGGGAGCCTCCCGGCCTGGCCGGCTGAGGCTGGGGCTCACTCGGACACGAGGGCCCCAGTCTCTGGTCAGTGGGTGGCAGGCCCAGGACTTGAACCTGTGGCTGCAGGGCTGGTGTCCTGCCTCTCCACCTCTGTGACTCTCCAGCTCTGGCTGGAGGCCCCTGGTGGTCAGGCTTCAGGATCCTTGTGCTGTTACCCCTTCAGGGCCTCAGCTCCCCATGCAGCCCCACATCAAGCCCCCCCCCCCAGCCTTCTGCTCTCTCTGAATACAGCAGAGCCCCACTGGACCATCAAAGAGTTAAGGGAATCCTGGTCCCTTGATCTCTGCAGAACCCAGCTGGCCGAGGGGAGGGAGCAGGGAGGGGAAGTGGAAGCCAGCTAGGGCTCCCTCCCTCCCTCTGCCCTCCTCCATCCCTTCTCCCTCCCTCCCTCCTCCTCCCTGCTCAGCCTAGCCTGAGGGTCTGGGCCAGCAAGGACTTATTATCATAGACAGAGGAGCCAGAGGCAGCCCAGAGGCCCGGGGTCAGTGAGTGAGCGCTGGGCTTTGCGAGGCCCCTGGACACACAGGGTGAGTGATGGGGGGCCGCCCCTGGGGCCACAGCGCCAGGAGGCTGAGGTCAGAGCCTGGGGCCCCTCTCCTCCCTTTGCTTCTGGCCACAGCTCAGGCCCTCCTCTTTCCCAGCAAATCCCTCTAGGATCTCCCCTCCCCCTCTCTCCTGTGACTGAGCCTTTGGTAGCTGGCCAGGCTGTGCCCGCCCCTGCCCCTTGCCGGGACTCACCCACTCAGCTCTGCAGCCCAGCCTCCTCCCTCCCGGGCAGAGGCTGCAGGGGCCCCCGATCCCCAGGCTGGCATGGGTGGCAGACCTGACGGCCGGCCGCGGGCACCCTCCCGGCCCAGTGCGTGGTCTCTCTGAGGTTATGGTCATTCCTTAAGTGGCTCCGTTTCCTGTGTGCCGTGTCAGTCTCTTTCCCGGAGCTTCTGGCTCTCTCTGCCAAGGCTCAGTAGAAACCTCCCCAGCTGTGCCAGCCTCTGGGTTCTGCTCTTCCTCTGGGAAGAGGTCCAGGCTGGGCAGGAGAAGGACCAAACACTACTGAGTCTTTTATAAGTCAGCCACCTTCCCTGCATTTCTGGAGTCTTCACAGTTGGGCATTTTCTCTGCACTTCAATCCTTTCCCATAAAGCAAGGGGGAAGGAAGCACAGAGAGGTTAGGCTGCTGGCCCTAGGGCACACAGCTTGTAAACTCCTGGGCTCTCAGGTTTGACTCCGAGGCCTCCCTTTTTCCCACGAGATCACATCTGTGGTCAGTAAAAGGGATTTTTGTTCTCTAAACCACTGGGACCTGTCACTTACAGATAGGGGGTGAGAAGGTTGACCGCTGAGGATTTAACCTGGCTTCCCACTGCGGGGAACAGGAGACTGGCCGAGTGGGCAGGGGAGGCGGGCTGGGGGGGTCCCCTCCAGGACAGGGGCAGCCCCACTCTGGACACTGCCTGTCCACCCCTCCCCCTGCTGCAGGGGGAAGCCGGTAAGGCTCCTGCCCCTTTAAGATCTAGCTCTGCTCAGCTGCCTGAAAGAGGCAGGCAGAAAAAAAATAGTAATAATGTATTAACCACAGAAAAATATTTTTGAATTGTACTAAATGTTAAAGGAGAACAAAAAGGAAATAAACAAAGAAACGCCAGAAGTGTAAAAACCAGTCTGGTTTCAAAAGCCGAGTTTCTGATTCTGCGATAAGGGCGCCAGCCCCCAAACACTGCCACCACCTCAAAGGTGCTGCCCGGCTTCCTGCCCACCTCCGCGCCCTCCAGCCCACTGTCCAGGCTGCTTCCTGCTCCTCTCCTGGATCCCGCCTGGCCAAGGTCAATGGCAGCTTTTCATCAACCCTGGGACTTCTCTTTTGGGTTTTCCAGCCCTCATGGTCCTGCCCTCAGTCATGTTTCCCAACTCGGCAGCTGGTTGACGGGTCTGTGATGACGGTGGCACCGCCTCCCGGCGAACTTGCTCTGCCTGGCACCTTCCCTTTAGGGCTGCAGGGTTGTGGGGTGCAGGTTTTTGAGGGCACACGGTCCCAGAGGGAAGGAAGGCTGGCCCCAGCCCTTGGCTTCCTTTGGGTGGTTGCTTCTGCTTTGCCTTTGCAGAGGGCTCCCCCTTCGGCCCCGCACAGAGGCACAGCAGAGGTCAGCAGCGGCCTTGGGGAGCCCAGCCCCCACCTCTGCTCCGCACGCTATGGCAGACCCCTTCGCCGCGTGGGGCTGTGGGTGCTTTTCAGTGCAAGCTGCCTCCTCTCTGCTGGGGTCCTCTCCGAGCTCGCTGGTGGGGGCCCGTGTGCCCATGCCACACGGGCCCCACCCTGTGCCCCTCGCCCGCCAGCCCCCCTCACGCTGCCCCGCTGGCACAGGCTTGCTGGAGGCACAGCTGTCAATGGCAGCAAAGTCGGCCGGAGGGAGGCGGGAGGTGGAGGCGTTTCGCAGGCCCACTGGCCGGGAGGGGGGCAGCGGCCTCGACTCGCCCACCTCCGCAGGCCTCCCAGGCCCTCCTCTGCTGGCCCTGCTGGCTGGCAGGAGGCTCAGCCATCGCGGCCTGCTCCGCCAGTCGCTCTGTGACCTGGGACACATTACTTCTCGGTGTCTGCCTCAGGCTTCCTGTCAGTTAAATGGCGCCGGCATCCCCTGCGGCCACACTGGGCCCTGGTGCCCGCTAATGTCCAGTGGCCCGCTAATGTCCAGTGAAGCGTGTTTCTGTCCCCTCCAGGCTCCCGTCGCCATGGGGATGGCTGTCCCGGGCCACCTCTGGGCACTACTCCTGCTCCCGCTCTTGGCGCTTGGGGTCCCCACCGAGGAGCCCAGCTCTGGGGAAGCGGTGGCCTCTGGTCCTCCTGGGCGCTGCCGACGGTGCTGTGACCCTGGTGAGCTCCCGGCCCCCGCCGCCGCCCTGCCGTACCTGCTGCCTGAGGTCAAGCCCTACATTAACATCACCATCCTGAAGGGTGAGGACGCAGTGGCTCTGGCTGGAATGGCCTGGGACAGGGAGGGCCTGCTGGATTCAGGGGGCAGGGGGAGGGGAGGAGCTAGCAGGAACAGGCCACGAGGCTCGAGGCTCGGGCTTCTCCTCTAAGTGGAGTGGGGAGGACGGGCCTAGCGCTGGCTCCCCGCCCTGGAAGCTGCAGGCTGGAGGCTGTGTGCTGCAGGCCCACCCCCCTGCCCCCTCATTCACACCCCCGGGAGTCAGTGCCTGTCACAGTCCTGTTTTGTGGACAGACAGGGCGGGAGGTTGCAGCAGTGTCGGGGCTGGGGGACCCGGCGTCGCATCTGAGGCCGCCACAGACCACCCGCCCCGCGGCCAGGATCGGTCCCGGTGGGCAAGGGCATCTCTGTCCATCTCTAGCTCGCCTCGCTCCGTCCACCTCGGCGGGGACGGGGTCCCGCCCCTGTGCCCCTGAGCTGTGTGGCTGTGGGCAGGGCCCTCAGCCCCTCCGTGCAGAGGCCGTGTGGGCACTAGTGGCCCGCAGAGGCCACAGCTGGCGAGCACGTGTCCCTCCGCGCCGGCTCCCTCTCTGGCCCGGGCACCACCCTGACCTCTCCCCTTCTTGTCCCCACAGGTGACAAAGGGGACCGAGGCCTGCTGGGCACACCCGGGAAGCCGGGCAGGGAGGGCCCGCGGGGGGAGCGGGGGCCGCAGGGCAGCAAGGGCACCAAGGGGCAGGCGGGCAGCCCCGGCAGCCCGTGCCAGACCCGGTTCTCGGCCTTCTCGGTGGGCCGCAAGACGGCCCTGCACAGCAGCGAGGGCTTCCAGCCGCTGCTCTTCGACACGGTCTTCGTGAACCCCGACGGCCACTTCGACCTGGCCACCGGCCGCTTCGTGGCCCCGCTGCGGGGGCTGTACTTCTTCAGCCTCAACGTGCACAGCTGGAACTTCAAGGAGACCTACGTGCACGTGGTGCACAACGAGCGGGCGGCCGTCATCCTGTACGCCCAGCCCAGCGACCGCAGCATCATGCAGAGCCAGAGCGTGATGCTGGCCCTGGCGCCCGGCGACCGCGTCTGGGTGCGGCTGTTCAAGCGCGAGCGGGAGAATGCCATCTACAGCGACGACGTGGACACCTACATCACCTTCAGCGGCCACCTCGTCAAGCCCGAGGACGACTAGCGCCTCCGGGGGCCCCCTGGCCGGAGGGGCCCGGACCCCGCGTTCCGGGCAGCCCCCCTCTTCTTCCTGGCCCTCTGTCCCTGCCCCTCTCCTCTGGTGGCTGCGCTTTAGACCACCTGCCCTGCGTGTTCTAGAACCTTCCCCACCGGTGCTTCTCAGATAGGAAAGTGCCCGCCAATCACCTGGGGGCAGTAAAATGCAGAGTGGTGGTGGGGGCCCCGGAGCCTGCGTTTCTGACCTGAGTTAGGCCAAATGGGGGCCGCTGGCCTGTGGGCCCGCGTAGACAGCCAGACCTTGCGCGGCGTTCTGGGGCTTCCTGGGCTTTCTGGAATCCTCCAAGTGTTCTAGAATCCCGCCAGCATCCTGCTGGCCAGTTGAGCCCTTTGGACTCGCCCTCCGCCCCCGACCGTCCTCTCCCTCCCTCCCTCACACCCGCTCTGCGCCCCACCCGTGCAGCGTGTGGGTTCACTCAGTCGTGAAGCACACGGAGGTGAGGGGACACAGGCCTGCCCGCGGGCCGCAGACCCAGAGACGGGCGGGAACCCCCCAAGCCTGTGCGCTGGTTCAGTGCTGTGGCCCCTCACTTGCCGCGGCCCCTCAAGGCTGGCGGGACGGAGTTACTGGGCCTGGGGGGGGGGGTCCCCTGCCCACTCCTCTCTGTCCTAACCGTGCCCATCAGTAAAGCCAACCCAAGGGGCCTTGGGCAGGGTAAGGGTGCTGTGAGGGACCCAGAGGCATTTGGGGGTAAAGCTGGTCCCCGGGGAGAGTGCCCAGCCCCGTAGCTCCCCACACAGCTGGCGGGGCCCAGTGAAGCTCTCTCACCTCCTCCCACCCCATTCCTGGGACTGTCAGGGCCTTGCCCGTGGGCCTCAGCCCTCCGCCTCCCTGCGTGCTGGCCCTGGGCCCTCCGGCCCCCAGCCCCGGGGGCTCTCAGGCTTTGTTCAGGCTGAGGTGTGGTGGGCAGCATCCCACAGAGCCTCCCCTGGTAGGTGCTTCTTTCACAAATGCCGCGGGTGCTGGGCAGGGGCGGCCCAGGCTCGGTCCCTCAGCAGGTCTGGGGAGCTGGACAGGCCACATTCCAGGCGGGTCGGGGTCCTCTGAGCCACCAGCCAAGGAAGGCACTGGGCGAGAGCAGTACTCAGGAAGGGGCATCGGCCTGAGGGCCCCCTCCTGCCCCCGGGGTGGCACGGCCTGACTGCCCTGGTCTCCTCGCCCCCCACTCCAGGTGGCCCGACACTCCCGGGGAGCCGGCCGCCGTCACTGGTGCTTACGCAGACCCTGGGCCAGACAGGGCCCGGGGGGTGCTCTCTGGTGCTCCTGCAGCTCGGGGCGCGGCTGCAGGGCTGTGGGGCTGGGGCCTGAACAGAGCCAGCCCCCCCCCCCCCCCCCCCCCCGCCTGCTTGCCCCTGCCCTGCTTAGCCAGTGTGATTAAACATTGCTGTCTCTCTGGTGACTCAGCTGCTTCTTTCTGCTGGGCTCCTTCGCCCACCCTGGGAGGGCAGCTGGTCCTGGTTCCGCTGGGCTCCTCGTGCACAGAGACCAGCCGCCTCGGTCACTGGGGCAGCAGGTGCCTGTGGCTTCGAACCAGCCCGGTCTAGGCATGTACCTGTGGCCTCGGGTAGGTCCCCACACCTCTGAGCCTCGGCTCCCTGGTCTGTAACTGGGGCTGACGGTAATTACCCCCCGGGTGCTCCACGGGGTGGACGAGAGGTTGCCCAGTGGGTGCCACTGCCATCTGAAGCACCCCTATTGAGCACCCCTGTGTGCTGGGTGACCCCGGGCACGGAGGCTGCAACGGGGCCGATGTGCCCCACACTGAGCCGCGGGCACGTCTGGCCTGACTCACGTGGTGGCTCTGAATGGCCGGCCTGTCTCCCACCGGCCCTGCTCCTGAGGGGCGCCAGGTCTGCCTTGGCTGTAAGGGCCACTGCATCTCTGTGACGGAGCAGCCCGGGGAGGCCGGGGCCGGGCGCCGGGGAGGTGAGGCCCTGTCTGCTGCCAGGTCTCTGGGGGGCACACGGTCAGCGGTGCTTGGTCCTGGTGACTCCAGGGGCTGGCACAGGCTCCCCGCCCGCCCTCTCGGGCAATCCCTTAGCTACCCGTCTTAAAATTACATTTCCCTCTTGAAATATTAGGCATCAGGAGAGGGGGCGTTCCCGAGGGAGAAGCAGCCCCGTGAAGTGGCAAATCCCCAGGATGGAAATCGGGCCCCCTCAGCTCCACTTTGGCTGGTTGGTAGCCTGGGGTACAGAGCGGGGAAAGGACAACGGGTCAGGCAGCGCTCTGAGTCCAGAGCAGGGGCAGGCCCAGCGCTAGTGACTGAGGTGGCCACGTCTGGTGGCCCAGTGGCTGGCTGGTGGGCTGCTCGCGGGTGGGGCCGGTGGGGTGTCTGGAAGTCCTCAGCTTCCCTGGGGAAAGAGCTCACGGTAGTGCCTCCCTCCGGCATATGAGTGTTTGGGGATGCGTGTGGGGAATTCTGAGGACAATGGTCTGCAAAAGCTTCCTAGTGGCGGGCACTTTTGAGCCGGGCTTTGGAGGATGAATAGGAGTTTGGAAAGTTTTAACCATAGGGTGAAACGAAAGGGTTGCTGTTGGTAAGACAATGTGTGTTCTAGCTGTGAGAGAGATGAGTATGGTAGAGGGGTGTTTGGAAAGGAGGGAGGGGGGGAGAGAGAGGAAGAGAGAGGGAGGATGTGGTGGGGACTGGAAAGACAGGTCCCGGCCATGAAAGGCCCTGAATGTCAGGCTAAGTGTAGACCTGACCTCCTAGGTGCTGGGCCACGCTGGAGGTGTCTGAACCACACGGTTACTGGTTAAAGCTGGTAAAGGTGGAGACTGCAGGCCGTGGGGAGCCTGTGCCCTGGCCGAGAGGAGGATGTGGGAAGTCCAGAGCGGGGTGAACTGTGGGTGCCATACTAGAGGAGAGGCCGGGGTCTCCCTGGACTCTAAAGAAGGTGAGAGATTTAACAGCAGGAGGGCAAGCAGCTGTGCAGGGTGTCTGGCTTGGACGAAGCTGTTGGGCTTCTGGGGCTGCTGCAGGACCTTTCCCTGACAGCCAGAGGAAGGCAGGCCTGGGTGCGGCAGGTGGGCCCTGCGCCGGCCTTCGTCGGATGCAGAGAGTGTTACGACTGTCCAGGACCGGAGAATGCCGGGCAACAGGCCCCCTGGGCTCCTCTCTACCCTCACCTGTCAGGTCACATTCAAGATCCCTCCTCTAGTGCCTCATCGAGGCCTTTGGGGGGGTTTCCAAGTCTGTGCGAGACTAAATTTCCAGCCCCAAACGAGAACCCCAGGTTGAGGATGGGACAGCCAGTGCTGATCGTGGCAGCAGGTGTAATGTGCTCGTGCTCAGTGGGTTTGAATGGTTTCAGAGCCGCGGCAAAGGTTCAAATTCCAGAGCAGGGTGGGCTCTGAGGGTTGGGGGTCACTAGGGGTGGAGGGCCAGGGGTGCAGGACTCCTGTGGCTGTGGGGGTTCTGAGCCTAGGCCACGCGTCCTCCGACCAGCTCCCAGCTCACAGCAGACTTTAATGCTATGGCTGTGACCTGGGCTTGTCACTCCCTCCCTGTGAAACTCGGTTTTGTTCCCAAAGGGCCCGAAGGGATGGTGCTGGGCCATTAGCTGTCGTCTGTGGGGAGTGGGTGTGCAAGAGAGCTTGTTTGATGAATAGATGACTTTCCCTGAGAGGAGCAAACAGAAACAGGAGCCAGGAGTCCTTGGCCCCATGCAGAAATCCAACCCCCCCTGCTCCCTGGCTCCCCACCCCC